GCCTACAGACTTATGAAACACAGAACCCAGTGAATCCTTAATCCTGCCATGCGTGCAGGGGACTGGACTAGATGACCTCTCAAGGTCCCTTCCAGACCTATGATTCTATGAATCTGCGCTGACAGGCTTGATGTGAGGATCCTACCTACAGGGATTAAAGAGTTGTGGAATACATGGTTTGAACCACCACTGATGTTAAGGGAATGATTCCCACTGACTTTCTTTGATGGGCGCTGTCTTGGCCCCAGCATAGGCAGCACAGAAGAGCAGGCAGTAAAACACTTTCAGTCCCCCAAGATATCTACAGCAGTGGTTCTCAAACTTTTGTACTGGTGACCCCTTTCACATAGCAAGCCTCTGAGTGTGACCCCCCCTTATAAATTAAAAACACTTTTTTATATATTTAACACCATTATAAATGCTGGATGTAAAGCAGGGTTTGGGGTAGAGGCTGACAGCTCGCAACCCCCATGTAATAACCTCGCGACCCCCTGAGTGGTCCCAACCCCCAGTTTGAGAACCCCTGATCTACAGCCTTGTGCTTCACCTTTCAAGTCAGGCTTACATGTTAGTAACCAAAACTTTTTAAACTTGTGCTCTGAGCCTGCAGCTGTGACGCAGACAGAACCATCATTAAGGCAATCTGGTCCAAAGAGGGCTTGCAGGGTCACCCTTTTAGATGTCAATGAAAACCAGGAAATATTACCAAAAGATCCTAGACACACGTTATCCACCTTGTCCCAAAATTGAAATCATCCTTTGAATTTGATAGTCCCTTTCTATAATTTGTTTACAAATTTCCTTTTTAATCTGATTATTCCAGGGTTAGCTCAGGCAAAGATTTCTAACTCAAGACCACCTGTTCTTAATCTTTTACAAACTGGATTGAATCTCGTAATTTGAATACAATAAATGTTAAAAAGCGAGAAAAGATATTTGATACACCTCCCCCAAACGTACTTGTTGTTCTAACTTGTGTCTCCTTTGGGCATTTTGGCCATTTACCTGTGAGAAGAGGTGCAATCACAGAGCAGAGAATGAAGATGAGGCTTGTGAACATTTCACTCAGACTCATTGTCTTTGTCCAGGTTCATGCCATGTAGTTGGGCTCTGAGTTTCCTCTTCCCAGAGAAGGAACACCATTCAGTCTATCCATGCTTTGAGCAATGTGGGGATTTTGAATCTCAGCACAGACTTTGTGTGGATGTCACTGCAGAGTGGAAACTGATCCTGTAATGATCAAGCCAGGAACAGGCATCCTCCTGCCTACACAGCCAGATGCATTGCTTAGGAGGGCGTGGCCGCAAGGAATGCCAGGGATAATTGCATACAATCATCTGCTTAAAGGGTTGTGCAATTGCCCAACTAGAATAGACAAGGCTGTCCCTGTTTTAACTGAACAGCTACTACATGTATTAAGGTAGGCCACTGCACAGGTAAAACCAGATTATTTTGCCTATTCTATTGCCCAGACTACTAGCCCTGTAATTACCAAAGGTGAGGAGTATCCCTTCCTAGGTACCTCACAGACACTCGATGCTGATGGTGCTGTCAGTAGTACCAATACTGCAGCACAGATCAACGTCATGAAGTTCTTCCTGGTTGCCTACATGCAGAACAATAACTCAGTGTTCGGGGAGTCTGTGGGACCCAGCACATCTCCCCAACCTGGTGTTGCAAAAACTCCTGCCAGTGAGAAGGAAGGAGATACGAAGGCTCCACAAGCCTGGCAGACAGAATTGATGGTAACACCATTGTGAATTCCAGTGTCTCCACTGTCAAGGTGACAGAAGGAGAGAGCGAGAACAGAGTGCAGGGAAAGGTTCTGGTGAGGTTGCCTGGTAGCAATCCGGCATGTCCCTTTTGTGGGGATCATACTGGAAAACCAGCAGCTCTGAATATTCATCTTAAATGTAACCACGGTGGGAAGAATGTGGAGTTTCAATGTTCCCTGTGTGAGAAAATGGATCTAAATCCCCAAGTGTAAGAGATTGACACCACAGGACTCAGCTGATGACTGGGTTTGTGAAGTGTGTGCCAGACGGTGTGGCACCAAATCAGGTATCTCTCAACACAAGAGACTAACCCAGCTGGCACTGTGGTACACAACACAGAATGAATCCAAGCCAGTCAACCTAAATACAACTCACTGTGTGGAAAACACAAGAGTTATTAGATGGCCCAGGAAGAGTTACTCCTTACCAATTTTGGCAATATATACTTGGGCCAGAAGTATATTAATAAACTCATTGCAAAAGAATTGATCACCAAATCTGCTAAGCAAATTGGTGACAAAAGGAGGATGCTTGATCTAACCAACGAGGACTCGGAGACCTCTTAGCCAGGACATGGAGCCACCATTTGTTATCTGGAAGTAAGATCTGATGAGCCCCAAACCACAATGGGGCTCAAAATTAAGAAAGGCCTGAAGGATCACGGCCATGAGGACTTTGAGACTAACAGCCTTAGTGCATGGGTTGAAGGAGACGTAATGTCAGGTCTCTAGTTGAAACAACTTCCACTGGAGTTCTCTCCTCCTTCCTAATGAGAGCGACAAAGCTGGAAAAGAGATCAAAAAGAAAGCCAAGACCAACCAGGGGGGGAAGGAGAAATCTTGGATGAGAAAAAGAGCAGCTAAAAGAGGTACTTAACTGAGGTACCAACAGCTTCATGACAACGACAGGTGTAAACTTGCCTCTATCATCCTTGATGGCATTGAACTCCTCCAGCGCCAAGTCCCACTCAAATATGTCCACCATGTGTACAGGGATAAGTGGGAGATCAAAACGCCCTTTGATGGGTTGGGCCAGTTTAGATCTCATGTCAGGGCTGATAATTTGGCATTTAACATCCTAATATCAGCTAAGGAAGTATTAAGAACATAAAAGAGAAGAATGGCTCCAGGTCCTGATGGTATCAGTTTGAAAGTTCTTGTCCGTGTGGACCCTAACAGAGATACGTTGGAGGGGCTATTCAACAAATGGCTGATTACAAGTCCTGATGGTATTAAGGAATGTCCATCACTACTGATCCCAAAAATGATGGCCCAAGAGGAGCTCAAGGATATAGCGAATTGGAGGCCTCTTATCATCATTTGCTGTGGCTTTTCGAGAATGTTGAAAACAGGCTGGCTAAAGTGTGCCCATTAAATGAGAAACACAAGGGTTTATTTTGGCACCTGGCTGCTCAGAAAACCTGAATGTTCTTCACATCATAGTAAAGCAGGCAAAGAAGGACAAAAAGCCTCAGGAAGTCATATTTATACATATAGCCAAGGAATTCAATTCAGTGTCCCATGATCACATCATCTGGGTGCTGTGGGGAGTGGCTTGGACCAGCACATGGTGAACACTATTAATGACTCCTATAGGAACATCCATACCCTTATAGAAGTGGGGAAGGAGCTCACACCTCTCCATTGGTATCAAAGTCAGGGTCAAACAAGGGAACCCCATGTTACCACTGCTAATTATCCTAGCTCTTGATCCTCTGATATCAGTGCTAGAAAAGTCTGGTAGAGGATTCTCGTATGGGGCACAGAAAGTGACAGCTCTCGCCTTTGCAGATGATTTGGTCTTGCTCAGTGACTTGTGGGAAGGCATGAACGGGATCATTGACATTCTGGAGTCCTTTTTTAGGCTATCCAGCCTGAAGGTGCAAGCTAGAAAATGCCACAGATTCTTCCTGAGCCCAACTCACAACTCATACACTGTCAACTGTGAAGCCTGGAAGATAGGTACAGATGGGCTGAATATGATAATACCATGCGGGAGTCTGAGAAATATGTTGGTGTGAAGGTTGATCTATGAAGTGAGTTCTTCAAAGCTGCACTGTCTGATAAACTTGACACCTGGCTTGAGAGGATTGATAGGATCCATCTCAAGCCTTTACAAAAACTGACATGCTGAATGGCTTCACTGTCCCTCAGGTTTTCTATCTGGCAGATCCATACCGATTGTAAGAGAACTCCACTATCTTCCCTCAATAACAGCATGAGGAGGGCCATTAAGGAGTGGCTTCTTCCCCTGGCCAACACCTGCATTCGTGCCAGATCCAGGGATGGAGGTCTGGGAGAGATGAGACTCTCTAGCCTCATCCCAGCTATTCAGGCAGGGTGATTGAATAGAGAATTGCACGTTCCAAAGATGAGACATTTCTGAGCACTGCATAGTATATTGAGGAGGAGTTCAGCAGACTGTGGCTGGCAGCATGTGGGAATGAAAAGGCGGCACCTGCGATAACAGATCAAGTTCTGTTCTTGGACAATATCAGAATACCATATAGTGTCCTTTACCCATTCAATGAGTGGGAGATGCTGGTTCCCAGGATCAAGTACCCAATCCCCTGTAGCTGGACAGATGCAGACTTCTCTAATGGAAAGAACTACCATGCTAAGGAAGCTGGGTCAAACATTTCATAATGATCCAGTCAGCTATGATTGGCTCAGGAACCACATGTGTTTCAGAGCACCAGTTCCCAACAGCCTTAAAGTTGAGAATGAATGTGTATTCCACCCGGGAATATCTAAGGCATGGCAAAGACAACCCCTTAGTGAGGTACAGACACTGCATAATGGTGTGGGGGTCTAGAACCCGTGACTGCAGAGCTGCTAGGCAGTTAGCATCTCCATGCTGCCACCTAGCTGGGGGACCGCAACACGCACCGTCTAATCCTAGTCCTGAAATCACTACCCATAGTAACCCTGACCCTAGCTTGGGGGCCCTACCTTCAGTAACCCCAGCTGGGGGACCCCAAAGAGCCCCTGGCCTAACCCTAGCCTAGGAATCCCTGTACATAGTACCCCTAAATCTACCCCGGGGAGACCCCTTAGCATCCCTAACCCCAGCCCCCTTCTCCCCTCCACCCACCTCACCCTCTGCTGGGCTCCAGCCCCCGCCCTGTGCCTCCCTCCCAAGCCGCCAGCCCGCGGCCAATGGCTCCGGCCGGGCCTGGGGGCGGGGCGCTACCGGCGGCGGAAGGGCGGGCGGGGCGGAGCCAGGCGGCGTTTCCGTGCCGTGGCGGAGGAGCCGGCCGGGCCCAAAGTTGCTCCGTTTCCCACGGTAGGTGCCGGGCTCGGCCCCCAGCCCGGGCCCGCTTCCCCCGTGATTGCTGGGCCTGCTGCCCTTGCCCGAGCCGCTCCCGCCCGGCGGGGGGGACCGAGGAGGGGGTACAAAAGAGGGGTCATGGGCTGCCGGGGGAGGGGGTTAAGAAAGAGGCTCGGGGGGTAAGGAAGAAAGGTGGGGGGGACCGAGGGGTGGGGGCTAAGGAAGGGGCGTGGGGATCGAGGGGAAGGGGTGGGAGAGTGGGGGGTAAGGAAGGGGCAGGGAGACCGAGGAGGGGTAAGAAAGAGAGATGGGGGAGACCAAGGAGGGGTTCGAAGGGGTAGGGGATTGGGGAGTAAGGAAGGGGCAGGGAAACCGAGGGTAGCGGGTGGGGGGTAAGGAAGAGAGATGGGGGAAACTGGGAGGGCAGGGGGTAAGGAAGGGGCAAGGAGATGGGGTAAGGAAGAGAGGGGGGTAAGGAAGGGGCAGGGAGACTGAGGGTAGGGGTTGTGGGGGGTAAGGAAGAGAGGAGGTGGGGACTGAGAGGAGGGGGCGGGGGTAAGGAGGGAGCAGGGGGACTGAGGGGAGAGGGCAAGGAAAAGGAGCAGGGGGAATGAGGGGAGGGGACAGGGGTAAGGAAGGGGAGTCATGGGCTGCCAGGGGAGGAGGTGGAGATTAAGAAAGGGATTGGGAGGAGCTATTCTAAGCAGGGAGACCCAGGCTACTAGCCCCCTTGTAAAGAGCCCCATCACCCCAAACCGTCCACCCTTCTGCTAATCAGTAACCCATGGTGGCTCCTGCCCTTCTCTGTAGGGAGCACCAGACCCATGGCTGTAAAGGACAGGCAACCGACTGCTTTGTTGTCTTAGCCCCCCTCTCAACATGAGGTTCCAACGTCCAAGGCTGTGGTTGCCTGGAGAACCATTATATCATTACTTTGCTGTATGCTTTGTGGCACCTTGAGGAACGTTAGGGGGCAGAGGGTTGTGTGAAACCAGAATGTGTTTGTCGTTGAGATTTAGCAACATGCCAAGGCTCCTTCCCATCTCTCGGGAAGATCTCAAAATGGATGAGAGGATTTAAATGCTGGTAAACAGTTATCTATAACACGGTTTCTCAACCCGGGGTGGGGACCCAAAATTGGGTTGCCAGAATGTTTCAGAGGGTCTTGTGGCAGTTCCCATCCCAAAGGGGTGGCTGGGCTCACCTCCCTGCTCCAGGCACTGCAACCTCTGGGATCCCAGTGCCACTTAGATGTGTCCGGGTGGCCAAATTTGAGTGAGTGGCACTGCAACCCCATGAGCCAGGTAACAACTCCACTTCCACAATTTGGTCCCAGTGCTGCAACCCCAGAGTTTGCAATGCCTGGAGCGGAGAGCCAAGCCCAGCAGCTCTACAGCACAAGAGCTGCCACTATGGGGTGAGTGCTGGGCAGGACCTGACTGAAACCCCACCCCATGGCCTCCACCCCCAGACTATTTACGGGGTCCCGACAGGCCATATACATTTATAAATGGGTCCTGAGTCCAAAAAGGTTGAGAACCACTGATCTAAAACCCCAGTTCGGTGATCCTGCTGCCCTGACTTCGTATTGGTGCCAGTGAGAAAGCACGAGAACTGTGTGGGAGGGTGGCAAACATGGCTCTAAAATGAGGGATGCTTGGCATTTTCTCAGCAGAGAGGCCTAGGATGGGGGTTTGAACTCTAATTTCACTGCATTAGGTGGACCCCTCCATGGTTGAGGGTACGCTGTCAGTATGGAGAGCTTGCTCTATTGCTGCCTGTACTGTAGTTGTGTGGATAACAAACACTGCCTCCCTCTATTGTAGTCACTCTTTAGCACTAAATTCACTATTAGAACAAAAATGAAATTCTTTCTCTGGTGCTTGCACCAATTTGGGCACTATGACCTTATGATGTAGAAGTCTGCAGTCTAATCCTGTTATGTCTTGTATTACTGAACAGCTCATTGGCTCACTTCTGTCCTCATCCCTGCATTTTGCCTTCTGAGGGATTCTTCTCTTGCTTTACAGGCCCTTACTGACAGCTTCAGCAAAAGTTGTTCCTGCAAGTGGGGTATTTTCTCAGATATTTGAATTAAGAAGGAAACTGAAATCTCTGAAAGGTTAACATGGACTTACTGGAAAGTACATGCAGGGGGTGACCAAAGAGACACCAGGGCTGAATCTGAGCTACTCTGTTAAATAAGTGGCTGTGCAGTAGTTTCTGTAGTTAAAGACTGATTGATTAATGTGATCAGGGAAAGTGATATGCAAGTCCAGTTGGAACAGTAGAAAGAGCATCCTAGATGCTGCATAAATTAATTCATTTGCTTTCAAGAAGGTTTTAATGAGGTCTGTAAGCAGTTGGTGGAAATGGACTCACCTGTGAGAATGCTGCATGTGGAGATATAAGTCTCAAAGCCTTCTCTTTGGGCAGGGCATCCAGTGGTGTCTAAGGAGAGGAAGTCACACAGAGGACAACCATGGAGAAAATGGCCAGGGTTACCACTGCCCTTGGTGGCAACACCATCACTGGACGTACCATGTTCTGTCACCTGGATGCCCCTGCTAATGCCATCAGTGTGTGTCGTGATGCTGCTCAGGTGGTGGTAGCTGGCCGCAACATCTTCAAGATCTATTCAATAGATGAAGATCAGTTTGTGGAGAAGCTAAACTTGCGTGTTGGCCGTAAGCCATCCCTGAACTTCAGCTGTGCTGATGTGGTGTGGCATCAGATGGACGAGAACCTGTTGGCCACAGCAGCTACCAATGGTGTGGTTGTGACCTGGAACCTCGGGAAGCCATCCCGTAACAAACAGGACCAGCTGTTCACTGAACACAAGCGGACAGTTAACAAAGTGTGCTTCCATCCCACTGAGGTGTATATGCTCCTCAGTGGCTCCCAGGACGGCTATATGAAATGCTTTGACCTACGCAAGAAAGACTCTGTCAGCACCTTCTCTGGTAAGGGCTCTGGCCATGTCTACAATGCAGAGCCTATGCTGGGATAGGCTGCATAGTGTAGACACAGTGTAAGCCGACAGGAGAGGAGTTCTTCCGGTGTAGTAACGTCATCTTCCCATACAGTGTTAGCTAATGTGACAGAAGAGCGCATCTGTCGGCATAGTTGTGTCTCCACTGTGGGTTTTGTCGGCATAGCTATGTCACTAGGGCTGTGGTTTTTTTCACACTCCTAACCAACATAGCTATGCCAGTATAAGTTTTAAGTTTAGACCAAGCCCCAATCTTGGGCCCACTTGGCCAGTGTTCTGTGCATTAGGATGCTTATTGCATATGCTGCAGGCTGGAGTTGTCAATTATCACCTTAAATAAGGGGGAAATACCAGATAATCCCCTATGTTCCAGGCCTTTGTCCCTCTGATCTCTTTGTGCTTCATTGTGGTAAAGATTTACCCCTTCTGGGGCTATGATGATCCAAGCAAGGGATCGGGGGACAGAGTCCCTGCTGGTGGGACTTCTAGTCTGTAGCAGCCAGTGATGTAAGCCTATGTCATTATCATCTGGGGTCTCAGGCTCACGACATGCAGCTTTTTGGTCTGATTTGAAAATTGTGTGTAGCCGATGTCTAGAGCTGCATTATCTGTGTCAGTTGTTAGGGTGGTGTTAGAGCTGTTGGGGGAGGGTGGATCTGCTTCCCATTGTCCTTGAATCATACCCTCTTCCCACCCACATCCCAACTCAGTTGCCCATATCTGGTGCCTTGAAGTCTGGGAGCTTAGGAAAGTAGCGGTTTTGATGACACAGTTATTGACTGGGTAAGGGAGATAGACTAGGACAAAAAAAGTGTGACGGACAGGTGCTGGATTGACAGCTCTGAAGTTCTCTATTTATGGACTACGTAGGGCAGAGGCAGTGCCAGCTTTGCAAAGGAAACTGTTCTGAACCAGAGTGGTCACTGGTTTCCCTTGGAGCATTAGTAGAGGTGATTTCTGCTTTTCCTACACCCAGGGTGCACTGGGCTGAGTCCAGGAGAGAATCAAGCTGGCCTGCCATTGGCAGCTTAGTGTAGACCCTTTCTAGCAAACATGAGCGTTAACACCACCAGGGGGAATGACTTTGCTGGGGCCCTGTCGGATCTGGTCTACGTTCCTATTGTCCCTCAGGCCAGTCGGAAAGCGTGCGCGATGTGCAGTTTAGCATCCGTGATTACTTCACCTTTGCTGCAACCTTTGAGAATGGGAACGTGCAGCTGTGGGACATCCGCCGTCCAGACCGCTACGAGAGGATGTTCACAGCTCACAATGGGCCTGTTTTCTGCTGTGACTGGCATCTAGAGGACAGGTATGTGCTATACCTACCACCCCGCTCTGCCCATGGCAATCACTCTCTTGTCAAAAAATTCCTGAAGGCGGTGCCTTCACACAGTGGTTCTGTGAAAACTGTCCGGTGGGGTGCTGAGAACTCGATGGGCACATGGCTCTCTCCTGAATATCAGAAGGAGCAGCGTGGCTTATAAAACAAGTCACTCTTGCTGTTCTGTGGGATAGCCAGCAGTAACTAGTAAACCAGAAGTGAGCTGCTGGAACTGGGTAATGTCAGGTATGTCCAGTGTGTTTCACCAACTTGATCAGCTCAGGGAGTGAGAGGGCTGCTTTAAAACACAGCTTGCTTGTGTCTAAGGCACGTTTGCCATCCTGCCATTAGGTATAAACTGAGATTCACCGGGGGGAAAAGTCACATTTCCCAGTAAATAATTAATTTATACTAAAAAAAAAGTTGCATGCAACTCCTGGACCCTGAACAGCCTCCTGGAACTCCTTGTCCATCTCATGCTGGGGAGCTATCTTCACAAGCTGAGAGAAGCACAAAGTACCTAAAATTAGCCTTTTTGTCCTCTGCTTTTATTTGTGGGGGGAAGAGGGGGATGGAAGCCCCTCTCATTTTCACTGACTGAAATGCAAAGGGCAGTTTGCCTTAAATCAGGGAAACCAAATTTTCTCAACCAGGGGCTGGAGGGCCTCACCTAATAAAATGGAAGATATTGCATCCTCCCTTTAGTTTAATATGCAGGTGTAGTCTGTGAAAGCTACAGGTCCCAGCATGCACAGTTCCCTTTTGATATGGTTGGAATCTGCACGCTGGGACCTGTAGTTTTGGTGAGCTATGCCTCCATGCTAAAAGAGAGGGTGCCCAAGGCCTGTGCTTGTTTAGTGCCATGTAGCTGGCAGGCAGCACTCTGACCACCTGTAGCCTAAAAGGCTTGCGTAAAAAGCCAATAATCCAAGATCAACTTCCAGGACATTTCTTCAGTTAATGTTTCTGCTTGTTCCTTTCTCCCTTCTGCCAGGGGCTGGCTGGCGACAGGAGGCCGAGATAAGATGGTGAAGGTCTGGGACATGAACACCAACAGGGCCAAAGAGATCTACTGCGTGCAAACCATAGCCTCTGTGGCGAGGGTCAAGTGGCGGCCTGAGTGCAAGCACCACATCGCCACCTGCTCCATGATGGTGGACCACAACATCTATGTGTGGGATGTGCGGCGCCCCTTCATCCCGTCTGCCATGTTTGAAGAGCACAAGGACGTCACCACGGGTATCGTGTGGCGCCACCTGCACGATCCCTACTTCCTCCTCTCGGGCTCCAAGGACAGCACCCTTTACCAGCACATCTTCAAGGACGCCAGCCAGCCCATTGACAGGGCCAACCCTGAGGGCCTGTGCTACAGCCTCTTTGGGGACCTGGCCTTCGCAGCCAAAGAGAGCCTGATCTCCTCCGACTCCAACCGCAAGCCCTACATCGGGGACAGGCGGCATCCCATCTTCTTCAAGCGTAAGCTGGACCCCACGGAACAGTTCGAGTACATCTCTTCTTCCAGTGCCCTGAGTGTCTTTGAGACAGACCTGGAGAGTGGCAGCATGGATTGGTTTGTGAGAACGGCCAAGCAGTATGCGCTGGCGGGGAGACCCCTGGCAGAGCTGTGTGACCACAATGCCAAGGTAGCCAAAGAGCTTGACCGTGACCAGGTACGTGCAACCCTCTAACAGCCTGTGGGAAGGGAGAGGCAGGCTCTGCTTTTTATTAGCTGAGCCTTCAAGCCAAACTGGATGGCATAGGAAGCCTTGATTGTATGTATAGACAGATACCATAGACATAAACTGTGGAGACAGGTCATGCGGGCTGCAAAGAATGACTGGTTGTCTGCTGCCCTCTAATGGGAACAGCTATGCATAGTGTAAATTTACATACATTTATTGCATCTCTGTACTCTTAGCATAGTGATTTCTGAGCTGTTTCTGGCTGCTAATGTTTGTTTTGACAGGGTGTCTCGTGAAATCTCATTGGCCAGATTAATGCAGATTGGTTTGGATGGGAGTCCTGTCAGAAGGACTGTCCGTGCTGCCTGATGGGAGCAATGGCAAACTGCAGAGCACTGAGCTGGGGAGAGGAGAGGTGACTGGTGAGGTACTGCAGGCCTCCGTGTCAGCTCTGTCCTTATTTAACATCTTTGCTCTGGAACAGAGAGTAGCCTGCACTTTCATTAAATTTGTAGGTGATGCTAAATTGGGAAGAGTTGTGAGGACAAGGAAATGATGCTAAACTGGATTTAGATCAGAAATGTAGGGAGAAAACAATACAATGAGATCCCCCTTGGGCAAATGGTGGTGGGGACAGAGGGTGAAGAATGATCCTCCCCATACAGATTCAGTGGAGGCGGAGGGTGGAGGGGAACCTAACAGAATGCAGAAAAGGTGTTAGATGGGCTCCAACACCACCAGATCCTAAAGACTGGTCCCTGCTCCAGAGGAAGGGGAAAAGGTCTCTTACTGATATGCTAGACCTAGTGATCTGTTCTGAGTCTAATACGATTCAGTATTTTCATTAATGACTTGGATGATGGAATGGAGAGCATGCGTACAAAATTTACAGATGACACCAGGGTGGGAGGGGTTGCAAGCACTTTGGAAGACAAGATTAAAATTCAAAATGACCTTGATAAGAGAATTGGTCTGAAATTAACAAGATGAAATTCAATAAAAACAAATGCAAGATAAATCACATGCACAAATACAGAAGGGGAACAACTGGTTAGGCAGCAGTAATGCAGAAAAAGATCTGGGAGTTACAGTGGATCACAAATTGAATATGAGCCAACAATATTTTGCAAAAAATGCAAATATTGTTATGGGGTGTATTAACAGGAGTGTCATATGCAATACATGGGAGGTATTTGTCATGCTCTGTTCCACAGTTATGAGGCCTCAGCTGGAGTAGTGTGTCCAGTTTTGAGCACCACACTTTGAGAAAGTTGTGAGCAAATTGAGAGAGTCCAGTCCAGAGGAAAACAACAAAAAATGATGAAAGGTTCAGAAAACCTGACCCAGGAGGAAAGGTTACAAAGCTGGGTGTGTTTAGAGTCTTGAGACAAGACTGAGGGGGGACCTGATAACAATCTTCAAATATGTTAAGGGCTGTTACAAAGAGGCCAGTAAACAATTGTTTTCCATGTCCACTGAAGGCAGAACAAGAAATAATGGGCTTAATCTGCAGTAAGGGAGATTTAGGTTTGATATTAGAAGGTTTTTCCTAAGGATAGCTAAGTACTGGAATAGGTTACCAAGGGAGCTTGTGGAATCCCTGTCATTGAAGGTTTTAAAGAACAGGTTGGACAGACACACTTGTCAGGGATGATCTAGGGTTACTTGGTCTGGTCTCTCAGTGCAGGGGGCTGGACTAGATGACCTCTTGAGCTCTATGTTTCTATGATTCAATGTTCTAGATTCAGTAGTTGGTAAATCCCTGAGTATGGAAGCAGGGTTAGTGCTGGGAAGTGACTTGGAAACGTAGCTTGCCCAAGGGTTAAGCTCTTTCTGTTGTTTCTCTTTTCCTTTCTTTCCTCAAGAGTTGTTGCTGTGAGATGAGATGTGCTCCACTCCCTGCTAAGGCCACGGGCAGAAATGCACTGTCATCAGCGTGCACCTAGCCCCTGCTAGTTGGAGGATGACCTATGTCCTGTAGTCAGAGCTGTTCTGTCTTTTCTCCTCTCCCTTTGTCTCTGTCACATCTACTCCTCTTTAGATGTTTCTCTCCTGCCGTCCCCTCTACTACAGAGTGCCCCTTGGTGCAGTGGGTCTTACCTTGCCCCTGCACAGGAGGAGCAGAATGAAACGGATAAGGAGCAGAGGTAGTATTATCTGGACTGGGCACAAATTTCACTCATGTGCAAGGAGAGTTGAAAATAGTGTAGAGCCAACAAAGCACTGTTAGTGACAAGAAACTAACCCAAAGTAGAGCTCAGATCCCAGCACTCTGAGGGTGTTCTGATCCACGGCCAGACTTGAGCTTGTCCCTCCTCTCGTAGCTGTGCCGAGGTACCTGCACTGCTGGTGCTGTCTTGGGTTGCTGCCAGTTCTGTTACCTGAGAAGGCAGGAAAGATCTAGGCAACATTGCAGGGTGGATAGAAACTCTACATTGCAGCAGGTCCCCTCCCCACAGACACCACTGGTGAGGGACGATGCTTGTCCTGCCCCATGCTTTCGGCTTGGGCTCTGAACTATGCTCCAGAAACCAATTTTCTGATGATGTTGCCTTGTTTGACAGACAGTGGTAACAATCTAACCCTTCCCCTCCTCCCTTCTCTCTCTCCCTGGGGGCAGGTTGCCCAGACATGGACAATGCTCCGAATTATTTACTCCAGCCCTGGCACTGTGCCCTCTGCTAACCTGAACCACAGCCTGGGGAAGGGCAGTACCTCCCTCCCACTCATGAACAGGTGAGCAGTCTAATCACGGCATCCCCTGACATGGCCCTGTTGGGAGGAAGTGGATGGGGAGGCCTGCACTGGCATACAGGGGATATGTGGAAACTTGACTGGCCGATAGGAAAGGGGGAACCATTCTGGAGATGGCTTCTTACACCAAGTTAGAGTCACTGCAGAGGAACTGGTTACTTCCCACTGATCTAAGTCAGATGGGCCTTCCCAGTGAGCCGGCTCCTTCATTCCCATCAGTTGACAGCAGAGTGGCAGCTGCTACTACGGCTTCTTTCAGCGTGAGAAAGAAACGGGCTAATGTGGGCTTGGCTTCTTTCCCAGCTTTAACCTGAAGGACATACCATCTGGGATAGGCAACGAGTCCAGATTGGAGCGCAGCAAAGGAGAGAGCCGATCCGAAAACATCCTCATGGATTCCTCCTCCACCTTAATCAACAATGATGGTAACATTTCAGCCGCTGGGTCAATGGAGCGTGCCAGTGGCTAGCTCGGTAATAGGAGTCCAAAATGCTCACTGTTTGGGGTGCAATCCAGACAGTGAGGGGTTAAGTCACTGCCTGCCCTGTAACCTTGGATGCCTCAAATGCTTTGCTACTGTAACTCCCTGCTTGGGACATTCACAGTCAGCAACAAGCACAACCCCGTCAGCCTGCCAACAACACACCATCACGCTCCGTGGTCTCTAGCTGCCTTGGTTACTACTCGCAGGGTGACCCCAGCACACTCCCAGTCATCTTCCCTGCTCCCAGCAGAGTGATGGCCCACAGCTACCCTTAACTGTGCCAATGTTTCTCCACTCTCAGGTACTGCTCTGGTCCTTTTGAGCCCAACTACCAGCCAGCAATTATCACAGACACTCTTTTTGTCTTGGTTATTGTTAGCAGGGGTCACAACCTCTCACTGGTCTGCATTGCACTGTGACGCCATCATCCTGTTGGGATGCAGTTCTAGTTCCAGTTAGCGCCCCCCCTCCCGGGGTACTCTGTCCCAACAACACCAGCCAAATCGTGGTTGCAGAACCTCAGGCATTTTGATCAGGGAACGTATACATTGTCTGCAGATCATTGGCCCAAGTCTCTTGAGGCTGGAGTCTGTCACTCTGGAATGTGGGAGGATTGGGATGGGACAGTGGATAGTGGTTAGAGCAGAGAACTGGGAGTCAGGACTGCTGGGTCTTGCCCCAGCCCTGTCATTGTGACGTGCTGTGACACCCTTGACATATCACTTCCCACACCTGTGTGCCTCAGTTTTCCCATCTGTGGAAGGGACAATGCTGCTGCCCTCTCTCTATGAAGCACTTTGAGGTCATTGGATAGAAGGTGCTTTACCAATGCAGAGCACTGTGCCTGTCTGTCCCACCTCCGCTCCAGCCCCAGGTCAGTTTGCTGAGGGTGAGTTGGCAGCTGGGCTGTGGTTTCTGAGCAGCCTGCGTTTTCTGCCATAGCAGCACAGGAAAGTCCGACAAGCTCTACTCCTGTAGGGGTATCCTGACTTGTCTTCTCTCTCTCTCTCTCTCTCTGCTCCTCCTCCCCGTTCCGTGTTCATCCAGAGAATGAGGAGACAGAGGGCAGCGACGTCCCTGCGGACTATCTCCTGGGGGATGTGGAGGGGGATGAGGATGAGTTGTACATGATGGACCATGAGAATCCCCATGGTGAGTTTGTTGTTCTGTGAATGCACACGCATGACTGCAGTGCAGCTGGGTCTCAGCAGGAGTTGCCTGTATGTACTCACTGCACTGGAGAGGATGCCAGATCCCTCCTTGACTCCTTTATCTGGTGGTGGTGTAGTCGTGTCTGTCCCAGGATATTAAAAGAACAAGGTGTGTGATATTACCACACCCAACTTGTGTCGCCTTTATCCATGGCACTACCCCTGCTCACTGAAAAGGGCTTGTCTCTTTGCAGCCGAAGAGCAGGAATACATCCTCCCCCAAGAGGCCTTCCCCCTGCGCCATGAAATAGTGGACAACCCCTCGGCCCTGGACCACCTGCAGGACAAGGCAGACTCTCCTCATGTCAGTGGCAACGAGGCTGAGACTGTGTCCCTGACGCCTGTGGAGTCCTTCTCCCTCATCTCCATCTCCCACTCACTCTACGAGAACCGCCTGCCACCCGACTTCTTCAGCCCCATCGTCCGGGACATGCTCCTCTTCTACGCCGAGCAGGGGGATGTGCAGATGGCAGTGTCCGTGCTCATCGTGCTGGGCGACCGGATCAAGAAAGAGATCGATGAGCAAACCCAGGTATAGCGCTATAGGGAGGAGCACTTCCCAGAGAGAGGCTTCTTCAGCAAAGCTGCTGCATATCCTCCCCCAGCAAACAGGGTTTGGAGACTCTCATAACAATCCTTTGTATTTATACAGAGTCTTTCATCCAGAAGTCCCCAGAGTGCTTTGCAAACTCTCGAGCGTGAAGCTCCAAGCACAGATGGGGGAAGGCATTCCTGATACACTAACTGAAAGGGAGGTGGTGGGTGTTGGTCAAGGGCCTAGTCTGGTAACCTGTTCCCACACAGCTTGGGAGCACTGTGCTGGAGAATTGTCACAGAATATATAGTAAGACCAAGCCACTGTAAATGAATAAGAAATAATGTTTCCAGCTGGAAAGGTACCACTGAGCAAGGAGTTCAGTTAGGCCATCGGTCTTACGGACTGTGAGTTAAGAATTTCTTGGGAGCAAAGTGAATCATGCTTTTGGCTTTAGTTTCTCTCTGAGACAATACAATGGCAGAAAGCTGCAGAGATCAGATCTCTTTTGGAATGTTACTACCCCAGCTAACTGTGTGCTGTAGAATAATCAATGCATGAAGTAGCTAGATGGTATACCCTTCTGCACCCCTCCTTGTTTGGACTAACATTTGATAGCCCCTTCTAAAGCTGATTTAACCTGAGGCTGGAGTCATAGGGAGGGGGTTTGGGTTCAGTAACTTTGCCCACAGACCCTAATGTGAACCAAGACTAATTTAGGTGTTTGCCCCCCCTCCCCTGCCCCAGGAGCACTGGTACACCTCCTATATCGACCTGCTGCAGCGCTTCCAGCTCTGGAATATCTCCAATGAGGTGATCAAACTGAGCACGTGCAGAGCCATCAACTGCCTCAACCAGGCCTCCACCACCCTGCACATCAACTGCAGCAACTGCAAGCGGCCGATGAGCAACAAGGGCTGGATCTGCGACAGGTGAGATGCTTTAGGGTGGAGGGGGAGTGCGGTGGGCGCCTTCATTTTGGAAGGGTTTGTCTGGAGGTAGCTAATGCATTATCTTGAAGTAATGTAATCTCTTGCCCAGTTCAGTTTCCATTATTATTATTTGTTTGTACTCCAGTAGCACCTAGAGGCCACAGTGGAGCTCACCCTATTGTGATAGGCACTGTGCATACACCTACAAACAGGTCCTGCCCTGAAGAGCTTACTCTAAATACACCGAACACAAGGTGGAGGGAAAACAGAGGCAGAGAGAGGTGAAGTGACTTGCCCAAGGTTACATACCTGGCCAGTGGCAGCACTGGGTATAGAACCCACGTCCCCTGGCTCTCAGGTCACTGTCCTAACCACTGAACCACACTGCAGAATGGAAACACAGTCTGCTGTTGGGGGTCCCTTGTGATCACTAACGATCTGTGCTGATTCTGAATGGTAAACAGTCTCCCACGTGTGTTCCCAGCCTGACCTGGGTTAAAGTTTCCTTCCCATGGTTCTGTTGCTTCTTTATAAGCTGTTTGATTTGTAGTTGATTTCATTGCTGTGAGGCACCCAGTGTCGGGCCCAAATATTATGTTTTTCTTTTGGGTTTCTGGTTTATAAACTCCCAGCCTTGTGCCAGCCAGGGCTGATGATGATACTGAAGGAGTTACAGTTTTGAGGTGTGGGCAGGGATTGACTGAGCTCACACCCTGAGGGGTCTGCATTGATTGGATGGGTTCCTTGATCCAGCTGGGAGCTGAGTGGTACATGCCAGGGTTTCACTGCCTGAGCTGGCCACTTGCCCCAGAGTGCTTTCTCTGCAGCTGATTCACCTGTAATCTTCTCTCTCTGGGCCAGGTGTCGGCAGTGTGCCAGCATGTGTGCTGTGTGCCACCATGTGGTGAAGGGCCTGTTTGTGTGGTGCCAGGGCTGCAGTCATGGTGGCCACCTGCAGCACATCATGAAATGGCTAGAGACCAGTTCACACTGTCCAGCGGGCTGCGGTCACCTGTGCGAATACACCTGAACTGAAAGGAACCAACCCTCAGCTGATGAGAGGTGGGATTCAGTCCCTGACCTGCTTGGAACCAACAGGAGATTGATCGCTGGAGCCTCTTCTTGGATGGAGGTTTTGGAGGAGAGGCTGTCTTGGATTTTAGAGAGGAGGCACCTCTTGCAGTATGCTATCCGTGAACAGGATTGAGAGTGAGGCTGACTTTGCATAGGGAAGGTTCCTCCTCAGTGCTTGAAATACAGCAAAGCCTGCAACATCCAAGAGCCTTCCTGGACAGTTTTTCCTAGTCATTGTCTTCTATTTATTTTTGACTGGAGTGTAAATAATTTTGTATTAAAGGTACCAGAATATCGTGTAAACATAGTTCTTTATAAACCAATCTAATGAACAAGACAGTCTGAGCCGGACTCTGAGCTACACCTTGACTTTTATACTGAATAAAAAAAAGAACAAAGTAGCTTCAGTGAGTCACTTGTTTGTATGCAGCTGCCCACATTGAATACATCCAAGAACCCTGCTTTGTTCAGCTCTGGCTGCATGTGCATAGCATCTTGGCTGATTCTCCTTGTGGAAAGGAGTCTAATGATCAGTCCTGACCACAGTCTAATAGTCAACAATTCTTGGGAAAGGGAGTTTTTAACCCGATTCCCCAGCCCAGCCCCTAAATGCTGAGCATAAGGTAACCTGCAATTTCCTCTGGAAAAGGAAAATCAGACAGATTGCATGCTTCATAATGAATAAGGCACCAGCCTCTGGAGACTTAGGGAACAGTCCTGATTAATTCACCAATTCACTTGTGATTTCAGCTGAACATCCTCTTGTTCCTGGAGAATCTGGGGAGCTGAGACTGATGCCTTGGGCTGAGCAGAATCTACTTAGTCCCAGAGCTAGGAGTCAGGAGTCACCACCCTGGTGTATGTGCTTAAACAAGTCACTTAACTTCCCCAAGCCTCCATTTTCCCCAATCTGTTAAATGGGCCTAAGTATCAAACTACTTTCAAAGGGAACCAGTTAAGAATGAATGCTTATACAGTGCTTTGAAAATGCCAACTATACAGCTATAAAGGCCCCCAAATTGGCTAGAATACACGGGGGGGGGATGCCCCTTTGGAGCAGATGCTACCACCCTGTCCTCAGGGTCATAAACTTGTACAACCTGCCCAATGAGCACCTGCATTGAAACCCTGATTAGCATGACCCACATTGTACCGACTTTCAAGTTATCTGTGCTTCTTGATGAGCCTCCTGCACAACCACACCACCTCTCTCTTTTGTGGATGCTGGCAGGAGCACATCCTAGGCTCCTGCTCTTCTTGAACAGAATCCTCCATCCTTGGGCCCCCTAAATACTTTCACAGCCACAAGTTCTTGACATCCTTCCTCTAGCCCCTTGCCATGCTGGCCCAGCATAGGAGGGAAGAAGCAGCAGCAACCAACTAGCTTGTGCTTGTACTGATCCAGGCTGGGGTCAGCCTAAGAAAGCCAGGTGGAAAGGGGGGGGAGCACAAGCACATACATAGGAGGGGAAGAGTCAATGGGGCAGAACACAGGCTAGAGGGGTGCAAAGCAGGAGGAGCTAGGCCTGAACCATGAAATCCCCCCTGCTGAGCAGGGGTGTTTGGCCTGTGGGAGGATGGGCTCTTGGTTTAGCCCATTTCCGGCTCTGAGACTAGATGTGGGTTAGCGGCTGGGGACGTTTGTCAATGGCTGCTGGGTAATGTAGTCACCAGGCCACCTGTCCAATAGCAGCACGCGGCATCAGCCTCTCTTCCCCTTTCACCCCTTTGAGGGACCACGAATGGAAGTGTCTCCCAGATGCCTGCTGGGTAATGTAGTCCGCAGGCCACCAGCCCACGCAGCAGCACGTGGCCTTCACAGCCACCCTGCCCGGTGGTGCTGAAAGGCGTCGGTGCGCGCGAGTCCCGGGGGGGGGGGGGGGGGAGGCTGTGACATGCCTGGAATACAGCTCCCAGAATGCAATGGGGGGAGGGGGGATGCTCTAGGCTGAGACTTGCCGGCATCTGCAGCCGCACACAGAGAGAGAGCTGAGCTGAGGCGTGGTGGTAGGGGCTGGAGGGGCCCTGGGATGTGGGAGGCGATACATGCAGGGCGAGGGAGGAGAGTTAAAGGGTCAGATAGGGATACAGCAGGTATTAGCGTAGAGCTGGGGTGGGGGGTTAAATTCAGAGAGGAGATGGAAGGGAAAGAGCCAGAAGTGAGCCAACAGCTGGATTGGTTCCCCTGCTGGCATTAGGGTATATTAGAGCCTTCAACATCCTGTCCTGCACTGTTCTCTCCCTAGCTTTTCTAGCCTGCTTCTCTGAGAGAATCTGACACCCCCACATGGCAGAGGGCTGCTGGAGGCAGATGGGATCGTGGTGGCAATTCCTTCTCCTCTACATCCCATTGTCGCTGCCTGGAGACTTAGATTACCTGGAAGGAAATGGGGGCTGGTAAGTAGGCAACCCATGCACACAAGTATTTTCTCAATCTCTTCTGGGATCTAAAGTGTCAGGTCTGGTCCACGTTCCCTCAATGGATGTGCTGCCATGCAGAATGCTATGTTGACTCATGAGAGGTGGTCAGGGAAACCTCCAGTGCTGAAAGAACCAGGTCCTACTTATCACAATGTCAATACCTCGCCACTCTGATCTTTACTGCATTCTGCTTGTCTCCTGACAGCTGGAGAATTATATATTACCTGGAGGTTTGTATCCTGAAAGGAGGATCTGTTGTTGACTGCTTAGCGTTTTGTAAGCAGGCCGTTGATCACCTTTTCCCCCAGGCATGGTCTTGGCTTGTGTCAGGAGAACTAGCTCTGCCTAGATGGCTCAGCTAGAGGCAGAGTTGCCTAGGGAGTAGAGTGAAGTACTAAGGATCGGGAAACCTGGGCTATGGTCTTGGTTCTGCCACTGATTCGCACTATAACCACAGGCAGGTAGCTTATCCATTCCGTGCCTCAGTTTCTCAAATTGTTGATCATGATAATGGGATTTCCCTGCCTCCTGGGGCGTTGTGAGGATCAATTCATGAATGTGAAGTGGCTGGGAGCAAGGCACTGGAGAAACTCAAAGCGTTATTGAGCGTATAATGCCGAGTGCTCTTGTGGAGATGTCAAAGGCAGAGAGAAGGTAGGTTTAGAAATAAAAGGAGGAAATCTGGCCAGGGTTTAACGAAACGGGGAATGATGGCATTTTGAAATGGCTTATGTGGGGAAGGATTTCTCCACATCCCCCTACCCCACATTCAATGTGCAGCGGCACTCAAGCAAACAGAATGTTGGGAATCATTAGTAAAGGGATAGATAATAAGACAGAAAATATCATATTGTCTCTATATAAATCCATCTTGAATATTGCATGCAGATGTGGTCACCCCAGCTCAAAAAAGATATATTGGAATTGGAAAAGGTTCAGAAAAGGGCAACCAAAATGATTAGAGGTATGGAACAGCTTCCGTATGAGGAGAAATTAATAAGACTGGGACCTTTCAGCTTGGAAAAGAGACGACTAAGGGGGGATATGATAGAGGTCTATAAAATCATGACTGGTGTGGAGAAAGTAAATAAGTGTTATTTACTCCTTCTCATAACACAAGCACTAGGGGGTCACCAAATGAAATTAATAGGCATCAGGTTTAAAACAAACACAAGGCATTTCTTCACCCAACGCACAGTCAACCTGTGGAACTCCTTGCCAGAAGATGTTGTGAAGGCCAAGACTATAATAGGGTTTACAAAAGAACTAGATAGGTTCATGGAGGATAGGTCCATCAATAGCTATAAGCCAGGATGGGCAGGGATGGTGTCCCTAGCCTCCATTTGCCAGAAGCTGGAAATGGGCAACAGAGGATGGATCACTTGATGATTACCTGTTGTGTTCATTCCCTCTAAAGCACCTGGCATTGGCCAGTGTCGGAAGACAGGATACTGGGCTAGATGGACCATTGGTCTGACCCAGTGTGGCCGTTCTTATATTCTTATATATTAGGTGAGGCTCTTGAATTCTTTCTCCTTCTCCCCAGCCACGGAGCTTGGTTTAGTTTGAACAGATCTAAGATTGAAAAGGCCCATAAGAACACAGTCCATCCCCGCACATTGGCAGTATCTAATGCCCTAGACACAGTGTGCATTGGGGTGGAACCGTTGCTACCTCTGTTCTTAGCCTAGGTCTTAGCCAGTTGATTGAAGGAGCAGATGCTTGGAGGGTCAGCAACCTCCCGTGAACGGACTCAGACCAGGCATTCCCTAGGGGAGAGCAGACCTAGCTTGGAGTTGCCATGGAGAGAGAACTGGGCTTACAGCCTTGTTACTTATCACAACGGACCAATGGGACAATCAGTGCCCCTCCTGCCATCTGCAAGGGGCTGACTAGAATATTTTGTTCCTCCTTTAAAGTGGCTGCCCCTACGGAGCTGTTATTGACAGCTCCCCACTGAGAAATCTGACAAATTCCCCAGGCCTCTTTCCATTGCTATTGCAACCCTTGGCACTGACCCCGATGTCGGAGTTAGTGTCTCTGGGTTAGAGGGGAAGGGAGTTGGCAGTGACCAGGTCCGATCTCCCCCTGCTTGGGTTGCTGATCCTTCCGGGGCTGATGTCACTTGCTGGGAAATGCTCAGCCTGGCAGTGATTGACGCCGAGGGCTCTGTCCTTTTCCCCACCCCAGGCTGACGAACAAGTACTTGGCTCTGATGGAAGAAGACCACTGCACTGTGGAGAGGAGAGATGCTTCGCTGACCTACTCCCAGTTCATAGACCAGTAGGTGTGCTGCTTGCTTTGCTCTCCGGGGCTCGACCAGCCCCTTTCCTGTACCCAGCACTGCATGCAACCAGCATGGCTATTACTGGGGGAGGGAGGGGGATTCTCTGGGGTCTTCCCCTCGACATGACTCCACAGGGTCCTAGCTATGCACAGGTCATTGTGGAAATCTCATGGCACCCACAGGGGTGCTGGATACCTTGGAACCAGTTAGGAATGGGGTTCTCTGTCAGCAGGCAACTTGCAGATCAGTGACCATACAACAGAATCTGATCAGAGCTTTCCGTCTGCTGCTAGGAAGAGAAGTGACTCCCATAGCAAGTCCCACAAGCCCAGCTTCTCCATTAGCCCCCTGCTGACCCATGCTGCCTGCACAGATATCTCTCCTCGCCCCCGGAGGTCCCATGACCTAGATCTGCCCTTGAGATGGTCTGTGATTGTGGCTGTCCTCACTTGCCCACCCACTGCCACTGAAGGTGCAAAGAATTTGAGTCTGAGCACTGAACAGCTCAGCCCATGTATCGGTCACAAATCTGTTGCAGAGGTGGTAACAGCTGAGTTTCACTGCAGCTAACACTAGTACTGTTAACCAAGGGCTCTGATGGGAGTGAGCTGGGTATGTAGAATGTGCCAGGTCCCAAGGAGCCAGGAAAGTGTTTAATTTCC